AAATTTATCGTTCACCCAGTCAACTAGACGTAGACCAACAGTCTTTCTTTCAAGTGTTGTAAGGCCAATCGAAATAGTACAAACATCTCTGTTGGAACCATACATATGCACAAAGAAGTTTCCAGACTCATAGGCGTATCCAACTGGATAGTTGATGTGTAGAGGTTGGGCCCAATTGGGCAACGTGGATCGAGTATTAATGTATGTAATCGCTTGCATTAAAGTCTCCTTGGTCGCTCACCTCATAGCTGAAAAAGAGTTTCCGGCGTGCATCCCGTGCTCTTATCATCAGGGTGAAGCATGGACCAGTTTGCACTTAGTCCAGGTCCTTGTAGTTCAAAGCAAACGTTCTCTCATCAACAACTGCTTGTCGAATTGAAATAAGGGATTGAGTTTTAACTTTCAGAATATCTCGAACTACTGATGAAAGAAACTGCTTCTCAGACTTACAACCTAGAGTAATGCTCATTAATGCTGTCGGCGGTATGTTTATAAGGTGAATGGTTCCTGCGGTAGTCTCAACATTCGTATCCGCGAGGCTCAGGGGCCAAAGTAGGCGCGACTCCTGTTCATATGCCCACTCCAACGCCTTTGTTAGGGCGAGAGATGCGAATATCTCTTCGGCGGATTCGCCTATGTTCATGCTGGGCCGATTTTGAGCGTAGCTTACGCGTCTTAGAAAACCGAAGTCATCATTTTCATTGCGACGGCGATTGAAGCAGGGCGCTGAAGAGTCGAACTCCAGTAAGGCCCCCTTATGGCTCTCCGCGTAGTGACCCCACATCAGGGCATGATTGGCGCTTCCAGTCAGACATAAAACACCGATGTGGCGCGGAAGCATTTCGTGAAGCGCGCGCTCCGCCACCCTCATAAAAGCTGGTATTTGCGCTTCTGCTTTTGCGAGCCCTTCCAGATAGAGCTCATGAATCTGGCGCTGTGATCCCATAAGGACGCTCAAGTCAGCTTGCGGTTGTCGCTTCACGATATCCCGCAGAAACTCTTCTTCTGATTCTCCGGAAAGTTCTTTGAGCAGATACGAGATAATTACTTGCACTATTTTTTCGTCTTCCGAGGACATCGCCGCAGCGCCTCCAGGGACATAGTTTGCAACGATCATCTTGCTCATCTCTGCGCGGACCTGCTGAGGTGCCTCTTGCATCAACACATTTTTGTTTACTGACAACAATGGGCGCATCTCAAAAGGATCATTAAATTGATCAGGCGGGGTAATCCTAAACGCCCAAGTTTGTAGAAACCTTAGTGTGCCCTCGGTGTTCAAGTATTTATATATAGGCTTTGGCATAGAAAATTTTGTTGCAAATCTCTGAGAGTCCCCTCGACTAAGACTGGCCGGAGGTTCCCCCCTCTGGCACCCCTCACGTCCAACCTCAGGCCCTCTCCAGGTCAACCCTCAAGACACGCAGGCCACTCCATCACGAGGGCACATGCGGGGCACCTTGCGGTCTCGCTTGGGTCTATGGTGCATGTCGCTTGATGCCTGTCGATAGCAGGCGCGGCGCTGGGGTGAATGCACACACGAAGACTCAGCAGATAAAGAACGCTGAGCGCACGTCCTGAGGCACTCCCAAAGCTAACCAATGACGAGCTACAGGACGCCTCGCGGGGTGATAACTTGCGGCGAAGCATTGGGAGGCTCTGGGCTTGAGAGTCATCTAGTGGCCCTCCTGGAGCATCTATGCGCGCGCATGGGTGCTCTTGAAGGGTTGCTAGCAGTAGGAGGCGGCTTGGACGTCTGCAACCCCGATACTCCCCGTAGCTTCGAGAAAGGCTAGCACATCGTAGAAGTGAATTCCGCTTCATACAGGTCTTCGTACTCCACAGAAAACAGAAAACGACTCCTAAGGGCTGCCGCGTCTCGGCATTGTTGGCTGTTGTTTGGTGCGGGATAGAGTTTTATCAACACAAGCGACTGACCAGGAGAAAACGCTGTGCCGACGTTAGGATTTCCACCTTCCCATGGGTATGGAAGACCTTTGAGCAGCTTTTCCATAGGCTCGGGAAACCCCTTGCTACCAAACTTATGTGTAACTCCGTCGAGCGTGCAGCTCGCGGACTTAATGACAGCAGTTCCTAGGCCACTATTTAAGAGTTCAACGTAAACGTCCTGACCAAGCACCCTACGGTTCACAAAATGCCAATGGGGCCGCACCGAGAGCCGATTGTGGCGGCGCGCGAGTTGTGCCTGATAGAAGGTCGCCCACATAGAGAGCAATGCAATGAGCGCTGCCGAGATTGCAATGATGTCTGCAGCGCTCAAAGTCGGTGTGCATGAGGTCGGCATGTTGGGGTACTCTAGTTTTAACGATGCACCATAACTTTGCTAAAAAGGTGCCCCCTCAATAATATGGCTATTTTTTGGAAGCCTTTATCCATGCGGGTTTTGGGTTGTTAGAGGGTGGTTTGTTGGCCCCCTATCAGCCACCCCGTACCTAGGGATGCAGTGCCACTGGTAGATGCGATTCAAAATTAACCCGGGATAGCTGATACCTCCTATCGCTTTGTTAAGAGCGGTAGCACCGTGGTGGGTGTAGACCTTTGAGCCAGTGCTTCCTGAAACCTCATGGCCTATCAAGGTGCCATTGAGGACCGCCTCACGGTAACCCGCGGGGCCAAGACTTTGTACGTACCGGCCATTGCGGTACTTGTCTCAGAGGGGGTGATCGTTCGGAAGAACTATGCTGAGGTAGGAGGAGCCAGTCGCGCTGGAAGAGGCCTGTGAGTCGCGCCATTCCACGTAAGGTTTACGTGTCACATCCAGGTGCTACAAATGAAGTATTCTGGCGGCCCGTAGGCCGCTAACCCGCACGAATGCTCACTTTTCGATGAATAAGGTGACGAGCCTTGACCCCGGCACTGGCTCCACAGTTAGGGCTGCTT